AAAGAAAGAAAGAAAGAAAGAAAGAAAGAAAGAAAGAAAGAAAGAAAGAAAGAAAGAAAGAAAGAGGAAGGAAGGAAGGAAGGAAGGAAGGAAGGAAGGAAGGAAGGAAGGAAGGAAGGAAGGAAGGAAGGAAGGTAGAGAAAGAGAAAGAAAAGAATTTAAGACAATACTTTGTGTAAGTTTACATAAGTTAAAAACCCTAGATTAAATATATTGTTTGGTGTGTACACATGCATAAATGCATAAGATGATTTTACAAAATTCTACCAAATATTTAAAGATTGTACCACAGCACGAAGCAACTCCAATTCTTTTTATGAACTGATAAGTACATTATACAGACTGGCTCGTCATTTGAGAAAAATTCCCCAGTCTACATTCTCTTCCTCAACAATGCCCAACGGTCCAGAAAAATGTCACTACAGTGTTGTTAGCTATCTTGCCTGATGTTCATGTAAAAGGGCATATACCCACCCAGAACAAAACATAATGTAATGTTTTTAACAGAGTGCTGTAGAGAAAAATTTACAGCTGGGAAGGAACAAATTCCATTGGCAGTTATCAGAATCATGTATAGGTGTTTTTGAAAAGTGCCCTAAATTTCAAGAAGGAAAGTATCCAAAACAATTCCTTATGAATAGCTATTTTAACTAGTGCTTGGCAAAAATTATGTTAAACATTTTATACCCTAACATGGTAGTTTGTGACTTGTCAATGTTTTAATTTCTTTTCATATTTTATAAATCTGTGGGGATAAGTTATCATGCAATATGATAATTTTGTGTATATGTGTGTTTCTTTCTTTTTTTCTTTTTTTTTTTAACTATTTTAAAGGAAAAGGATTGGTAGATTTTTTTTTTTTTTTTTTTTTGCCTAACATGTAAAAGGTCCTAGGTTTGATCCCCATACCAGGAAGATAAAATATAATTTTTTAAAAAATGGCCATAATTGAAATGTGATTTTCAGGAACGGTGTATTGAGGTTGAGTATGATGTGACTATATGACATTAATATTCTAACTTTATGATGCTTAAACATGGTATGATGATATCACAGTACACACCTCACTTCAAAGTACCTAGCCAAAAGCTTAAGTAAAGATTATTTAATAGAATCTAACAGCACGTTTCAAAATAAGTATAACTGTCTTATTTGCATAATTATACTAGGTTTTACCCATATGACTTTCATATTTGGTGAGAGAGGAAAGAGTTCCTCAGGGGCCTTGAGGTGGCCCCAGGGTGGCCTCTCTTGCTTAGAGGAACACCACAGGCACCACCAGCCACTGCATGTAACTCTCTTCACAAGCCTTTGTCACTACTGTGGACTATAATGGTCCTGTTGGTCTTGGTGGTAAATGCTCTAAGAAAGTAGCCACTGTCATTCAGGGGGCCATCATCTTGGCCAAAGCTTTCCATTATTCCCTGGGTGGAATTGGTGAAACAAGAGTGGCTATCCCAGGCCAAGTGACAGGCCGCTGTGGCTCTGTGGGTGTGCGTCATCTCTGCTTCAACACACTAGCATCATTTCTGCTCCTCTGTCCAAGAAGCAACTGCTGCTGGTAGTGACGGATATTGATGGCTAATACACACATCTAGGGCAGTGGTTTTCAGCCGTCCTAATGCTGAGACTCCTTAATACAGTTCCTCATGTTGTAGTGAGCCCCGCAACCATACAATTAGTTCATTGTTCCTTCATACTGTAATTTTGCTATTGTTAGGAAATATAACATAAATATCTGATATGCAACCCCAAAGGGGTCACAACCCATAGGTTGACAATTACTAAGCTAGGAAATACACTGACACTTTGATAACATCTCCAACGCTACCTTTAATGACATCTCCAAAACCTATAGCTACTTGACCCCTGACCTCTGGAAAAAGACAATATTCACTGAGTCTCTCTATCAGTGGGAATTCCCCACTGACCATCTTGTGATCACCCACATAAAAGTCTCCATTCACAGGACCCAGGCTCCACCAGTGGCTACCATATAGGATATTTATACCAGAAAAATAAAATGAACTAAGTCTGCAAATAAATAATGACTAACTGAGGTATATTTTAACATTGCATATACAGTTCAAGCTATGAAATCCATTGCTATATATCTTCATATCTAAAAGAAAATATGACCTCTATAAATTCTGAAAAGAGTTAACAAGTTTTAACACTTTTGACAGTCAAAAAAATTGCTAAAATAGGAATTAATGTATACTATAAATGTAAGTTTATACATAGGTTGCAAGCCAGAACCTTTACCTCAGTATTGGCCAAACAAGGAAGGGGTACCCAACAGCCTGGATATTATCAACCAATGCAATCAGATAGATTAAGAACCCTAAAACTTGGAAAAACAAAACAAACATAATCAACATTAAAACTAACACCTGATTTGAGGATTCAGAAACATAGAATAAGTAATGAACATATAATTTTTTTACTCAATAGCCTAGATTTCTTCTTCTAGCAGAAGTAGTTACAGGTATCAGATTAAGCCTAAAAAGGAATACTCAAGAAGGCCAGGCAGAGCACACATCTGCTAGTGAATGCTTATGATCTCAGCACTCAAAGGACAGAGGCCAACATCAGAGCCATACACGAGACCTTGTCTTAGGAAGAAACTAATCCAAGTCAAAGACTAGCAGAAAATACTTATTTGATAAAAGACCTCTGTGAAAATTATAAAAACTGAAGAGATAGTTCAGTGACTACGAGCATTTCCTGCTCTCTCACAGGGCCTGAGTTCAGTAACCAAAAGCCCAATGGCAGTATACAAGCATCTGTAACTCTAGTTTCTGTAGTTTCTCCAGTACACAGTTTCTCTCTCTTCTGTTTCTACTGATACCAGGCATGCACATGATACAAAAGCCAACATGCAGGTAAAACACACACACAAAATAAAAAGATATAAACACATACATATACAAATAAGATATATATATGTATCAATTTAAAAGTAGGTGAAAGACTTGAATAAAAATCTTACCAAAGATGCACAGATATCAAGTAAACATAATTTTAAAAAAATACTCAAAATCATATATCATTAGGCAGTTGCAAAGTTAAACAATCCCTACTAATTTCATTAGAACAATTAAAGTCCAAACCATTGGTAACACAAAATTCTAGTAAAAGATGTAAAGCAACAAGCTTCACTCATCACTAATGAGAACAAAGCAGCACAGCAACACTGAAGACACAGTCTACTACACACAGCTTCACAATCACACCTAGGTGTGCGCTCACAAGCATACATCAACATAAAGCCTGAGCATGTGTGTCTGTTCATAAGTATCAAAACTGAAAGTAACTGAAACATCCTTCAGTTGATGGATGGATAAAGTTCCAGAGAGTTCTTACTTAATGTGTTAAGACATGAACTACCAAGCCACCAAAATGCCTTAAGTGCATAATGATAGTTTGTTTCTTTTTTTTGAACCAACCTGAAAATGTGTATGATGTATGATTCCAAGTGTGTGACATTCTGATAAACCATCTATGGCTTCGAGCATGGACAGGCCAATTGTGAACAAAGTCCCAGTGGGTCCCTGGGCTAAGCCTCAGGCTACTCTAAAGAGAAAGAAGGGGTAGGCTGGGAAGGCAGACTGTGCCAAGAGCAAGTTTTCCTCAGAGGAAGCTCAGAGAAACTGGTGGCTGAGCAGCTAAACGTCACCACCCTGCACTGTTCTGTCTTTCAAAGTATGTGATTGACTGCAAATGTTGTTGTATATCTCATATGGCCTATTTCAGAGCACAGCACTTCCCTGGCCTTCTGCAGGCCCTGCCTTCTCCCTGGAATGTTTTTGTTTTGTTTTGTTCTCATTCTAATGCCTGTCCTAGTGGGGACCACATCTGTCACTTACTGCATGACCCTTTCAGGTTCCACACACATTGAAGCATACAAGGGAAGAAAGGGAGCAAGTCAGACAAGGGTGCAGGGCTTAGGGCAAGCAGGTAGATGACAGCTCTGTCTCACCTACCCACCCCCACCCAGTACCAGCCCTTACCACCTTTTGTGAAGCAACAAAAGATGAAGATTTTATGGTCTTTCTGGCTAATCTATCCACCTTCCACTGTGTTCCTAGCACTCTGACACAAACCCTGTAACAATAAACAGTAACGTGGAAACATTTTTTAGGCGGGTGGGGGGGAGGACAAAGTTATTTAACATTGATCTGCCTCTGGGGCAACAGAAAGCCAAGAGCTGTCAAAGGACAGATACTGATAGCAAAGAACTTTCTCGCCAACTGGCAGAAAATCAGAGAAGCAAGCTGGATTCCCAACCAGTGATAAAGAGCAGCATGAACTGGGGCAGCTGGGCCTGCCACTGGTCACAGGGAGATACTCACTGGGAAGAACAGTGGTCTCCTCGGGAGGGCCTGTCAGTGCCCCTGGGGCTTGTACAGTGGTGCTGGGGTCTGAGGGCTGACTGCCCATCCGGGTGACATTACGCTGGTTGTCTGCATCCTCTGGCTGTTCCTCCACTTTCTGGAGACAGGTGCTGGGCAGCGTGTGTACAGGGCCCACACCTGTGACTGTCACGGCCTCCAGGTCACAGTGAGGTTCCCTGAAACCAGAATGCTCATTAGTCTGCTGCATGTGAAACTTAGTTCCTTATGGCTATCCTTTATACCAGGCAAGTAAATCCTGAGCAGTTTTGATGGTTTCTCTCACCCTACACACTTACAGTATCTAAAGGGAAAGTATGGAGCTGACCCATCTGCTTTGAATGCAACCAGCATTGTACCAACCATATTGTTGGTATGATGGTCTACATGCGCCTCAAAACCCCCTTGGTAAACGAAGCAATTCAGAGCAGTCTATTTCCCTGCTTCTGTTGGTACCACTACCACATTGCCTACACGCACTCCCAAGTCTCCCCTTGGCAAATTCCTGTGGCAACCAGTGTGTACTCAGTGACACCCTAGGAAGGGCCCCCCCACACACACACAGAATTCTATACACAGAGAGTACTCTCTCAGCTAGATTGATTCCTAACAGTGGCCTCCCGCTGTGCCTGATTTGACTTCTGGGAGGCAGTGGGTAAGCACAAAGATGATGGCTTCAGCCTCGACCTCCGATTTCCAGGTCTCCTGAAGAGGCAGAGCCAAAAGCGGTTCAGCAATCTGTTTCTTCATGATAAATTCAGCTAGCACCTTTGCTTGTTTTCCCCTTCCCAACATCATCTCCTTCATTACAATATTCCCTGATTCCTCTCCTAGGTTTTCTGCTCTTCCCAGTTCAGTGAGCTCTAAGGTCTCCAAACTCTCACTCAGTCCTTTGTCCCTCCCTAGGTGTCACTGAGTACACACTGGTTGCCACAAGAATTTACCAAGAGGAGAATTGGGAGCGTGTGTAGGAGGTGTGGTAGTGGTACCAACAGAAGCAGCCTGGCAGTGTCACCGTAAGCCTTTCCCTGTTTGCATAAGGGGTCCTAATACGCCCCTCCCCCTCCTCCTCTCCCCATACCCTGCCTCTTACTTACTTGGGCTGGTGGTTTCGGGTTTCCTTATCCCCTTCCATCCTGTTGCTCTCCTTCTCTGCAGCCTCTCTCTCTGGGGGCTCAAGTGTCTTATGTCTTGCACGGTGCCTGCGTGTGGGCTCCTCATTGTTTTCTGTCTCACGAGGGCCCGTGCGGGGGCCTCGATGTCTTGGGCGTCGCTCGTTCTTGGGTCCAAGCACCGGGGCAGTGCCCTCCTTGCCTGAGTCCTGTGCATGCCGGTGGACACGGTGGCGCCGGGGCTCACGTTCAGTGGCCTCCTCTGGAGAGCCTCGCCGGTGGTGACGCCTGCTGCGCTCACTGCGAGCTTGCAAATCAGCCCCTGCAGCCTCCTTGCTGCGACTTCGACGAGGGCGTGCACGTTCCTCCCGGGGCCCGGTCTCTGTGCTTTCGACCTTTGGACAGTCTGCCCTATCCTGTTCGCCTCCAGCAGGAGCCGTGGCTGAGGTCTTGTCCCTGTCACGGTGCCGGTGGTGCCGGCGTGGCGGATCCCCACTTTCAGTGGCCTCTGTTCCCTCAGGCTTTGACTTGTTCCCAAAGGGGCCCCGCAAGCCTTCCCGACCGGGCTCCACCACTAGGGGTCGGTCCATGTGTGTCTTCATGTCTGGCCTCACATGGCGCGTGCTGGCATAACGCAGGCGCTCTTCAGGGTCCATCTCACTGTACAGAGCCTCACAGCTGGCGCGCAGGTTCTGTAGCCTTAGCTGACTGGCCCGCTGCTCCCACACGGAGCGCGCCTTGGCCGAATTCTGCTGCCTGCTGCGGGGA